GTAGAGTTATTGGTATCATCTTAAAGCTTGTTCACTTGTCTTTATTTGGATGAAAAAAAATATCCATTTATCTTGAATACAAGTCGAGATATTTGCGAATGAAAGAGGTGGGGTTCACCTGTTTTCAGAGGTACAATTAGTGAGATAATGGCCGCCAAAGATTAGTTATTTCCTTACCTTAAGAGTCCGTGGTAACTGAAGATTTACATTTATTGTCAACGTTTTTCAGAAAAATCCACACAGAAATGAGTTCGTTAGTGGGCATGAAAGGTGTTGAACCAAAAAACAAAAATTTGATAAAAATTCACAAACCCGCAGAAACATGCAAGTTTCTCCATTTTGATTATTTTGACGAGAGCCTGATTCCACCACGCTGCCTCACCTAATTAAGACTGTTAGGCTAATCGGCAAAGTTTCTGAATCCAATTGTGTACATGTGAGGCTCTCGGACTCGCAACCGTTAGATCATAGGTTCGAATCCTGTCAGTCTGGGACCGGTGTTGTGTTCTTGGGAAAGCCACTTTACTCGAATTTTGCTCACTTCACCCAGGTAGGAATGGGTACACGTCTATAGACAGCGAAAGATCTTATTGTCACTTTGTCAGTGTTTGAGCGCGTGCAACCAGCAGCTTGCACAGTGTGCTTGTGGGTGGTTGGCGGTGCTGTGGTGTGGTTTGCTTCTTCTTTCCTATCAAACATCTATCGTCCTTATCTCCCCTTCTTCTTTTTTATGTTTGTTTCTCTCTTGTAACACCTCTAATCTTCTGGCGCTCATATGACCTTATTAATATGCAGTTGCGAGCGCCGTAAAACCTCTACTAAAAAAAAAAGAAAGAAAAGCAGTATGCTTCCCGGGGAAATAAAGAATGTTTTTGAGTCGTGTTCTTGGGTCTGCTCGGGTAATCATGGCTGTGGAGCGCTCAGGGCAGGCTGTAGAACGTGGATATTCGCTATATTACTATATAAATTAAATGCAATAATTTATCATTAATATATAGGCCTACACACATAAATTCCCTTGTTATCTTCTCATAACTCTATCAGATGTGTGTGTGTGTGTGTGTGTGTGTGTGTGTGTGTGTGTGTGTGTGTGTGTGTGTGTATGCCTACGTGTATGGGTATTTCCGTGTATGTTTATGTGTACGTGTATGTACATTTATGCATGTTATACCAACCTATGTCTCTATCAGGGAAAACCAGGGTCCAATCTCAGAGCTGGCGGCTCCTCTCTCTGTCTCTCTGTCTCTCTGTCTCTCTGTCTCTCTCTGTCTCTCTCTGTCTCTCTCTCTCTCTCTCTCTCTCTGTATGTGTATACAACCTTTCTCTCCTATCTCTCTATCAGGGAAAACCAGCGTCCAAGCACAGAACTGGCAGCTCCCTCGCGTTCCCAACGGTGACCGCACTCTGCCCTACCTCATCAAGATCAAAGGTCGGGGCGGCATGGGGTCAAAGGTTGTTGACTTTGACGTCACTGGGGAAGTGGGACGCTTTGATGTTCAGCCCGTTTTTGATGACGACATTTTTCTGGTGGGTTCTTCTCTTTGATAACTAACTATGAGGACTAAATCTAGATTTATAGGGCAAAAAGTGGTGACGTCACATTTCGTACTAACAGAAAATTTAGATCCAGAGACTTTATATATTTCTGTCATGTGACGAATTCTTAGAAGTTTTTGTGTTCAATTGTTGAAGATTTTAAAAAATAATATATTTCAGGCAGGTTTTTATCTTATGTTATCTCAGTGTTGGCCTATTTGTGTTGTAAATGCCGTAAAAAAATAAGACTCTTCCTAAAATGAATACTCTATGACTTATTAATTGTATTGCAAGTGCTTTAAAAACTATATTTAAAACTCCACGACCTATTTGTTGCAAGTGCTCTATATGACCTTTTAGTGTTGCAAGTATTGTAAACCCTTTTCAAAACTAAGCACTCGATGACCTAATTGTGTGCCGTAGTAAAACTCTCCCCCAAAACTAAACCATCCATGACTTATTTGTGTTGGAAGTGCAGCAGAACTCTTTCGAAAACTTAACTCTAAGAGACTTATTTATATTGCAAGTGCCATAACAGCTCTAATTAAAACTCCAAGACCTATTTGTGTTGCAAGTAATGTATGTCACACGACCTGTGGATGGTCGATACGCAAGAAAAAAATGTGTTTCATGGGATCACCTCAGAAAAAAAAATGCGTTTCATGGGATCATCTCTGAAAAAAAAAATGCGTTTCATAAGATCACCTCTGAAAAAAAAACCATGCGTTTCATGGGATCATCTTCGAAGAAAAAAAATGCGTTTCATGGGATCATCTCTGAAACAAAAATGTGTTTCATCAGATCACATTGGAAGTAAATGCGTTTTAACAAATCTAAAATGCTAATTTATTCAAAAACTAGTCACAGTTAGGCTTTCATATTGATATCTCAAGATGGCTTTCAACATGTAGAATTCATTAGTGGAATATAAAATGTTCCCGCCAAAATGAAAAAAAAAAAGTTT